TATAGGGTAGCTCGCGGAAGAGCAGTTTGGCATATCGCAGGAAGATCTCCTGCCTGACATTCATACCTACCGGTTCTGGTGGCAGTGCCCACATCTCTTGCCAGGCGGCGTCGTGCCTGCCGTCTCTGAAAAGCATGGCACGCCTGACGGGTCCGTACCCAGTAGTAGCAGCTTGCACCTGCCACCTCAGTCCTGGCAGTAATGGCTAGGGCAGTGGCGGTTACGCCAGATGTGACTAGGCACCACTATATAAGGACTCTGACCCCCAAAGACAAGGGGAGAGAATGGAAAAATGGAGGTAATCCCTGCTCTCTAGCTCTCTCATTTCTCTCCAAGCTCTCTACAATCAGAATGCTAACTTAGGCATCGGAGAGTCCCCGTCGGGTAAATACCCCCGGGTCCTCTGATTCAGTTCTCGCAGGCTCCTCAGCTCCCGCCGCCTAAAAAGGGGAGGAAAAGATGGAGTTCTTGCAGGTCCCTTAGCTCCCACCGCCTACAAAGCATAGGAGATCACCTCTTGTAGAGGGCAGTTGGGTTGCGTTGCACCAGGGAGCTCCACCATCCTCTGAGTTACAAGCTGCCTAGGAGCAGGTCAAATGACAAATCCACCAAGGTAGCTCACCATCAGGGAGCTCGGCATAGCTCTCCCCCAGGCAGTTCGCCATCTGGGAGCTCGGCATAGTTCTCCCCAACTCGGCATAGTTCTCCCCAACTCGGCATAGCTCAGGGAGCTCGGCATAGGTCTCCCCAGCTCGGCATAGCTCGGGCAGCTCGGCATAGCTCTCCCCTAGGCAGTTCACCACCAGGGAGCTCCACCATCCTCTCCTGGGAGCAGGTCAAATGACGAGGTACTTAGCCAAAAAAATTGATACATCACAAAAAATTGGTACATGACCAGAACCGGTTACATCAATTGGCACCATCTGTGGGAATCACGCTACAAAAAGCTAAGTTCTCATCCTATAAAAGCTAAGTTCTCATCCTACAAAAGCTAAGTCCTCTTCTCCCAAAAAGCTAAAGTCCTCACATTTTAGAAATTGAATCTCTCGCTTTATAGTTTCCATTTTTTTTATGAACTCAAAGACCATGCAGGGAGCTAGCAGACTAAGAAGCTCTACCAACTTTACTTTCAATTCAGATAAGACCTCACCAGTCCTCTCCGCAAGGTCCCCTCTACAAAGATGAGCTCTTCGTGGCTTCCGCGGGAGTTGGCGGCCAACAGACTACATAGGCACCCTTGTTGGTCGAGCCTTCCAAGGCTCCCATGTGAGCTGGTGACCTAAAGTTAGTAGTGCTGCCCCTGAAGGTCAAGCTCCTAGTAGCTTCTTGTAGGAGTGGGTGACCGGCATTACGAGGCTGATGCAATGCAATCACAAGTAGCTCAGCACCTCACAGGCAGCTCGGCACCTAGTCAGCTTGGCACCCGGTCAGCCCGACACCTCACAGGTAGCTCGATACCTAGTCAGCTCGGCACCTCACAGGAAAAGCCTACGTGCCACATTACTGCTTAAGACCCAGTCGCCTCTTCGGCACGGGTAAAGTCAAGAAGAGTGGACTACGAGTCGCTCCCAAAGCCTACGGGCCATATTACTGCTTAAGACCCAGTCGCCTCTTCGGCACGGGCAAAATCAAGAAGAGTGGACTACGAGTCGCTCCCAAAGCCTACGAGCCANATATTACTGCTTAAGACCCAGTCGCCTCTTCGGCACGGGCAAAATCAAGAAGAGTGGACTACGAGTCGCTCCCAAAGCCTACGAGCCACATTACTGCTTAAGACCCAGTCGCCTCTTCGGCATGGGCAAAGTCAAGAAGAGTGGACTACGTGTCACTCCCAAAGCCTACGGGCCACATTATTGCTAAATACCCAGTCGCTTCCTTAGCATGGGCAAAATCAGCAAAAGTGAACTATAAGTTTTCCCCAGAGCTTAAGGGCTACACTACTGAACTGGCGGAGACCTCCTCACCTTACAGGCAGCTCGCCACTTGCAGGTAGCTCGCCACATACAGGCAGCTCCCAAAGCCGAAGAAATTGGATCAACACTTACTAGCTCGTCGACTTTCGGGCCAAAAGAAGAAATCTACTCCCTTCGCTGAGTTACTCTCAGCTCGGGAGTGGGGGGCAAATGATGAGGGAGGATTTGGCCCTCCAGTGAAATTGTGACACCTGGCATCTCATGCAAACCAAGTGCAGCCTCTTGACAACTGGGCAGCTCGGGCAGCTCAGCAGAGCTCACCACAAGCAGCTCGGCATAGCTCGGAGAGCTCAGCATAGCTCTCCCCTAGGTAGCTCGCCATACGCAGCTCGCCACTTGCAGGGTAGCTCGGTACAGGGTAGCTCGCGGAAGAGCAGTTCGGCATATCGCAGGAAGATCTCCTGTCTGACATGCGTACCTGTCGGATCTGGTGGCAGTGCCCACATCTCTTGCCAGGCGGCATCGTGCCTACCGTCTCTAAAAGGCATGGCACGTCTGACGAGTCCATACCCTGTAGCAGCAGCCTGCACCTACCACCTCAGTCCTAGCAGTAATGGCTAGGGCAGTGGCGGTTACGCCTGATGTGACTAGGCACCACTATATAAGGACTTTGACCCCCAAAGACAAGGGGAGAGAATGGAAAAATGGAGGTAATCCCTGCTCTCTAGCTCTCTCATTTCTCTCCAAGCTCTCTGCAATCATAATGCTAACTTAGGTATCAGAGAGTCCCCGCCGGGTAAATACCCTTGGGTCCTCTGATTCAGTTATCGCAGGTTCCTCAGCTCCTGCCACCTACAAAGGGGAGGAAAAGATGGAGTTCTCGCAGGTCCCTCAACTCCCACCGCCTACGAAGGAGAGGAGATCACCTCATGCAGAGGGCAGTCGGGTTGCGCTGCACCAGGGAGCTCGACCATCCTCTGAGTTACAGGCCGCCTAGGAGCAGGTCAAATGACGAATCCACCAAGGTAGCTCACCATCAGGGAGCTCGGCATAGCTCTCCCCCAGGCAGTTCGCCATCAGGGAGCTCGGCATAGCTCTCCCCCAGGCAGTTCGCCATCAGGGAGCTCGGCATAGTTCTCCCCAGCTCGGCATAGCTCAGGCAGCTCGGCATAGCTCTCCCAGCTCGACATAGCTCGGGCAGCTCGGCATAGCTCTCCCCCAGGCAGTTCACCACCAGGGAGCTCCACCATCCTCTCCTGGGAGCAAGTCAAATGACGAGGTACTTAGCCAAAAAAATTGATATATCAGAAAAAAATTGGTACGTGACCAGAACTAGTTACATCAACCTCGATTGCTATAGCCTCAAGATTGGGGAGCAAGTGATATTGTGGTATTCGGCCAGCCTGCAGATCTTAACACGTGGCGTCAATCGGATGTATCTAGCCACCCATCACCAACCATTGCCAACCGCCACCACCTACTCCCAACTACTCTTCTTCTCATGCAACTCTGACTATAAAAATGGGCTCCTACATTGGGATAAACACAAAGCTCTAAGTCTCCCCTTTTGCTTGGTCCGATCCTCACAGATCTCGGCTAATTTAATCGTCAAAGTCTCTGCCCCTGGGATAACACCAAGGGCCTCTAACATCATTTTTCTCTCAGCAGGTTGAACCACTCAGCCTCCGATGCTAAAAATTACATTGTTTCCCTTGACTCTATATTTGGCTGCAACAATACCATAAATTGATAAATGAGGGGTAATAATTCTGTGGGTTTTCTCTATTGCTTGAGATAAAAGAATAAAGGAATAAAGAGAGATAAATACAATAAATGAAGATAAATACACAAGATAGATACAAAAGAGGCTGATATAACCCCGAACTTCTAGTGGTGTCCCAAAAACATTAACGCTGGAGGAAAATTGCCTGAAACACATCAACAGGTTCTTTGAATTTCATATGCAGAGTGTTACAGACCCAAATAGGACGTAACGAGAAATTCGTCTACTTCGAGGGAGACGAAAGACCTCCGATGAAAATCAAAACGGTTCTTGGTAAAATTCTTCAATTGATATCTTCTCAAAGAACAAAGGAAGTATATATACAGACTCCTACTCTAACAGGCTCGTACAACTACTCGTAACCCATTACCTTACGTGATTTATCATGACACTCTCTCACTACTAACTACTAATTGACCCGCAAAATAAAAAACTAATAACAAGTTTCACAGCTGGGCCTACGTGGCTCTCCACTACATGGATGGCCATCTAACAGAAAACACCCACTACCTTAATCTTCTAATTTAAATCACATTTGATAAGAGGCCCACTAATGGGCCCATTAGTGGGTCCGTGACACAGAGAGAGGCAGTAGAAAAATAGAGTTGCTCATCTCCTCAGAGAGAGCCCATATTAATGTTTTCGACGATATTACAATCCACATTTGGCTCTGAATATCAAAGAAGTAACTAACCTCTTCATTCAGTCTAGAGGAAACAAGGTTTTGTTGAATGGATTTTGGCTTAGTGCCTTCAAAAAGAGCAATTATTCTAAATGAACTTCTATAGGTTTGGAACCAATAGGTGTGCATACACCATAACTCAGGGCTACAATCTCCTACATTTTTTTTTTCCCTCGTGGGATACATGTGATACACTGAATGGTGGTAGTGTAGGAGAAAGTGTGGAATAAAAGTTTAGGATATCGGAGTAATTGAAATATGCTAATTAAACCTTTTTCTGCACCTCTTCAATTCAGTTGGCAGTCACACATATAATTACCATGTATATGAGAGCAGAATGTAAAACTTGTCACAGATCTCGTCTCTTAGGCTGTGTTTGGTTGCAGTGTAATTTTATTAGTACTAATACAAATGCACGAGTGTAAATGAAAAGAATGTAAATTTTGGCTTAATTTTGTTTTGGGTTTTACTTTATTTTATTTCAAGTTTCATTTTACTGCAATAAAAAAAAGATAAATTTTAGAATAAAAATAAATTATAATTTGCATCAAAATTATTTGCACTACCATGATTTTGCATCAGTTCAAATAAACTCGCATTGCAACCAAACACAGCCTTAATATCATCGCCCTTCATAGTTCTCAATTTCGGAGAACGACATCATCCCACCAGATTCACTAGTCAAGTTGCCCCGTCCATGACTCTTCTTCAACCTATCTCTATCATTACACACACCACCACAATCGTTGATATTCTCGGCATTCTCCTGCTGCTGCAGTGCAAATTCAAGGTTCCACAATACATCACCCATGTTTGGCCGCTCAATTCCATTGTCAGCCAAGCATTTCTCAGCAATCGCAGTGAATGTTAACAAACACTCAGGTGCGATCTTATCCTTTAAATAAGGATCGATGATTTGATCCAGAGTTCCGTTGCGCTGGCACTTTATAGCCCAGTGGGCCAACGAAACCTCTTCGTCCGCAAGGTTATGGTCCAGGGCGGGCCTAGCACATAGTACTTCGAACAACACCACCCCAAATGAATACACGTCTGATTTCTCGGTTAGTTGTTGTCGTCGGCAGTACTCAGGATCCAAATACCCGAAACTACCCTTGACTCCTGTGCTAACGTGAGATTGGGACTGACTACTGGGCCCCAACTTGGACAGTCCAAAATCCGAAACTTTGGCTACCCATTTCTCATCTAACAATATGTTGGTTGTCTTCACGTCCCGATGAATGATTGTGTACTTCGTTCCAGAATGGAGGTAGTGTAATCCACGGGCTGCTCCAATGCAGATAGAAAGTCTTTGCTTCCACGGGAAAGGATGAGGTTTGTTTTTCTTGTACAAATGATCACGAAGAGTACCATGGGCCAAATAATCATAGACCAAAATCAACTCTCTGTCCTCCCTACAATACCCGATCAGTGATACGAGATGAAGATGACGTAGCTTTGACAGCATCTCGATCTCCGTTTGGAACTCCCGAGGCCCCTGTTTGGATGTTGGACTTGCACGCTTGATTGCAACTGTGGTGGCTCCACCGTCAATATATCCTCTGTAGACGTTGCCAAAGCCACCTACACCAATCCGCCGTGCCTCATCGAAGTCATTTGTGGCCGCTTTGWTATCTACCAACGAGAAGTGACGGCAGAAATCGTATTGCAAGGGCGAAGTGTTTATCTTTTCCCGTCGGCGTCGGAAGACAAACAAGGATAGAAACGAGAGCACGAATACAACCACCACTACGCCTACGGCAACAGTGAACCAAATGTGAAAGTGGTGAGACCGCCGTGAAGACCTGCTGCCAGGCGAAGCAACGCTGTTTGGCGTATAGTTAGGATTCAATCTAGTTAGATCTCTATTGTTGCTCAATTTGAAGATCTCGAGCCCATTTAAGATTGCATCCATATACATAGGGTTTTCTTCGACGTTAGGGTGTAGCTGGAGCCACAGATCTTGCTTTTCCTCGTCCTTCCGTGTTACGATCACAACATAATCTTTGAACACAGGAATCCCATTCCCGCTGCTCCACATGATCACATCCGCTTCTTTTTCTGCCGTCTGGTTCCCAATAAGGATGCTAAACAGCCTCTGACCTTGCATTGTTATCTCAAACTGGAATTCGCAGAAATGGAGCCTGAAAAGGTAGTAGAAACCCGAATCGACGATAAAATGCCAAGTTAGATTGTATTTAACATTATGGGATCTGTCCATGCCCATCGTACGAGCGCTACGGTAGACGGAATCAGGCGCTGTGTAGTTAGGAACTGATGGTGGGTAGTGGATCTGGATGGTCATATTAGAGGGAAGGACACCCTTCTCACTGCCAAGTATGTAATCAGTGTCGTCATACCAGGAACGATACAGGCCCGTATCATTTTGAGGTGAAATATCACTTCCACCAACGTTTAATCGGTGTACCGTCTCAAAAGCAGTCATCTTAGCAATGGAAAATGAGTTCTTCTGACCCACAAGAGGAAGAGAGACATCATCCCCTTCGATATACAAGCCGGCGGGCATAGAAACTATCTCGATTCCATTCACAAATCCATATGTCTCGAAAGCATTGGGAGTTGGGGAAAATGTGATATCTAATAGACTGGAGTTCTCTGTGTTTACACAAAATTCTTTGACAAAGGAGGCTTGTTTCAGAGTGTCTGCAGTGAGGAAGGCGCTGAAGTTACGAAGGAGAGTGTAAGAACCAGCGTAGACGTCAAAGAAGGCGTTGGTTTTGTCAAGACCGGAATATGAAGCTGGGTAGAAGTAGAGGCGAATGAATTTTGGACCGGGTTGGACCAGGAATGTGTAGACAAATGGTGAATGAAAGACACGAGCTGTCATGTAAGGGATTTGGGGCACGGAGGAGTCTTGCTGTGAAGCTGTAGATGTTGTTGACAAGTTGAAACGGTCCATGGGTGCAAAATTAGAGCCAACGTCGCCAGTCCAGTTTCGGCCATCTTGTGACTGAATCGACTTGAGAGGGGAGCCGCAGTTGAGGAGGATTTCTTCTGGAGTATAAGAAGAGACACTAATGATCACTAAGTTTGTTAGAGCGAAGTAGAGGTAGAGAAGAGTGCTGAGCAGGGAGAATAAGGAATCTCTCATAGTGTTCTTCATGAACTCAGTCATACACAGAAGATGACTGAAACTAGTAGGAAGTAAAATGAAATGAAACTTGTAGCAATCTCAAGCTCACTTATTCATTTATTAATCTCTGTTGATGTGAGAGATCAAAGTATGTATTAGAAGAGTCAATAGTCAAGTCTAAATCTAAAGTCGTGTCTTATGAATGGCAGAAAGAAAGAATGAACAATGAAAAGAAAAGTTCTGGCTTACCAGAATGACAGAATCTTTAGGATTGAGAATTTGTGGTGGACAAATTACAAGTAAACCTGATTAGGTTTGTGTGGAAAGTAATAGATGTCAAGAAAAAAGAACAATAATTTCCAATGCGTTGTCTTTATTTTTCAATATATATACATAAAAGCTTACTACTTCATTCTATCATCAGAGCTAGATTCGATAGAATCCAAATAAGAAAATGTTGTAAGTGATTTGGATGACAGTCGTGGACTCCAACAAAAAATGAACCTTCCATCTGTCGTTGATAAACCTGAGAGATGATATCCTCATCCAACGTCTTCGGCATTGTCTTAAGGAAGACGCAACACGCAAGCAGTGACTAGCATTTATTGCACTGTCACTAACATGTCAAATCTGTGGAATAATTATGTTCGAATCTGTGAAAACGTGTGCATGCAATAAACTACTTTTCCAACTTCATAGCTATTTGTTGATTATTTGCCATGACCTGGTCAGAGATTAGAGTCGGGGCAGTATCAATGTGCAACAGTGCAAGAAAAACACCGTAAGCGATGCCTGTGTTAAGGGCTGTATAGGCAGTAGTAACGCCCCACGTTTTATTATGATTTGATGGTAGGGCATATTCATTTATTCTTAACTGGGGCATTATTATTAGTTATACAACCTAAACACAGCCACCGTAATTAGACCTGACAATCGGGTTGTGTGGGTCGGGTTCGGGTTGGATTAAGACATTTTGGGTTGATTTTGGGTCAGGTTGAATTTTGGGTTGGATTGCCAAATGTTAGACTTTAATTTTAAATGTTCGGGTTAGGGTTGATCCATGGGTCAATTTGAGTCATCCCAAAAAATAATTAAAATTTAAAAATAAATAAAAAATACCAAAATTAAAGGAATTAACCTTAAAATTTCAAATATAAAATGAAAAAATTTGAACATTTAACGATTCAAAGATTAAACAATAAAGAGTAAAGACTAAATAGTAAAAATTAAAGAGTGGAAACTTCTAACAATGCATAAATAGTCCCAACTCAGTTTTTTCCAGGTTGGGTCAAGTCGGATCATTCTCAAATTTAGGTAGTTCAATATGAGACCCTAACCCTATTTTTTCGAGTTGGGTTGGGTTGAGTTCGTGGGTTGGGTCAACTTTTAGCCAGGTCTAACCGTAATGGTATCCATATGTAGATTACCCTAAGTAAGGTTTCAAAAGGCTAATGGGAGAGGCAGAAGTTGAAGTATGATAGGGGTAATCATAGGCTGAAGGGATCGGAGAAGCCGAGGACAGGTAGGGCTTAGAACCTGTAATTGTTAGACAGTTTTTGTATGCCCTTAGCTTCAATCCGATTTGATGTACTTTTGTTATTTAGTGGAAATAAATAAAGTGCATGTTTGATTCATGTTGTTTGGTTTAATTCTGTGCAAAACCCTAAAACTTGACTTTTATAGAGATTCGTGCTAGTTTTAAATGTTCACAGCCGTTGGATAAGTCTGGGGAGATTTATCCTGCCAAGGCTGATACTGGTGTGCCGCCAAGTGTTGGGATGGCCTATCTCAACCACCAGGGTAAGACCCGAGGCACATGCAGTATGGGATTAATTGAATCCTTGAACCGGACCAAATTTGTAGTATTGCCCTGGACCTTGGAGACAGATGGGCAAAACTGGAAAGTTACACCTGACCCCTAGACTCGATTATGACACTTCACTAGGTGTCGGATC